CATAAAAGAACCACAATGGATCTTTTGGTCCCCTACGAAAATCCCCGGTCCCAAAGCCACAGAGAGCCAGCTGAAGAAATAGAAAAAACCAGAGCACGGAGAAGCCACGCAAGTTTTGGAGCACATCTCCCCAAACCCCTAAATAAATGAACATTCCCTTCCCCAATGCACGGGAAAAAAAGCGCCAAAAAACCCTTCCGCCCCCCCCCCCCCCAACCACCCCACATACACAATAATATTTTTGATTATAAGAAAACCCGGCGCTACCCAAAGTTTGATACCCCGTTTCAAAAGAAAAACCCAGCTCCCCGGGTTTAAACCTCTGCATCACGGACACGATACACTCTAGTGTACTCAAAACCCTTTTTCTTCTTTTTCTCTTCTTCTTTTCTTCTTCTTTTCTTCTTCTTCTTCTTTTCTTTTTCTTCTTTTCTTCTTTTTCTTCTTTTTTCTTCTTCTTCTTCTTTTCTTTTTCTTCTTCTTCACTTTTGAGCCCGTGAGGTTCATTGCTACAGATATCACCCGCCTCCACTTATCTCTCTGGTTGGCGTTCTCTTTCCATGTGGCGACAATACTTGTTTGCAGGTCTGCCTAGACATTATCTCTCCATTGTCTTCTTGGTCTGCCTCGTGGGCTACGACCAGTAACCTTCCTTGTGTGTGCAGTTGTTGCCTCTGTGTCATCTGACATTCTCTCAATAAACCCTGCCCATTACGGTATATTAGCTTTCATAACGCCAGTGATCAGTGGTGTTTTAACAGATTATGAATTTGGCTCTTGCTTCTCACTCTCCATTCTCCGCTGTTTGCATATTTAATTGTTCCAAAGATTCGTCGTTAGATTTTTTTTTTAAACAGCTGTGCTCCAAGTTTCAGAGCCATGTAAAACGACTGGTCTTATCAACGTTGTGCTTGATGTTTCGAGATAAAGACTTTTTCTTTAGCAGATGTTGGAAGGCATATCATACTTTATTTCCTAACTGTTTTCTAGATTGTATTTTTTCTCTCAGCATGTTGGAGCAGTTGAAGTTTGTACCCAAATACTTACATTTTTCTCTCGTTTGATTTTCGTATTCTTGATGTGTATGTGACCAGAGTTTATATTCTTTTTCTGTCTTGTTGTTATCATGAATTGTTTTATCTTGACTGATAATTAGTCTTATTTTATGAACTGCTTCTTTTAAGTGAGTCAATGTTTTCACAGCCTCTAGTTCAATTTCTCTAACGTTATCAATGTCCTATGCATAGCCAAATATCCTTGTAGTTTCTCCTTGTTTTAATTGTGTTTACCAAAGGCCAGTTGAAAAGAAGTGGGGACAAAGCATCATCAGATGTTACTTGAAAAGGGTCTGACTTTCGTTAGTTATATGTTACTATATTATAAGTGTCTTCCATACATAGTTTGGTCTTTTGCATTCTAAAGGCCTTTATAGCATTCCATAAACTGTTTCTATGTACACTATCATACGCCTTTTAAAAATCCACATAAACATTATGTACATCTCTTCCATATTCCCAGTTTTTCTCTGTTATTTGCCGTAAAATTAATATCTGATGTATTATTGATTTGTTCTGAAGGAAACCCGCCTGGTAATCTTACAATATGTCTTCTATTTCTGCTATCTTAGAGAATCTAATTCCTATTACCTCCAAAGTTCTCTCTCTCTCTCTCTCTCTCTCTCTCTCTCTCTCTCTCTCTCTCTCTCTGATTGATTTTTATTATTTTGCATAATTTGTTTAATAAAAAAAACGATTACTTAACGATTAACTTCCCAGTTGTTTTTTAATAAATCGCTTACTACTTTATGGTTTACCTGGCTCGCTTAATTGCATCAATCCAGGCATTACATTCGGCTTCTGAATCACTGCGAAGGTCGTACTGTCGTTGTCCTTCAATTTTGTAGGTAATTGTGAAACAGTGCTGAAAAATATGGGATAGATGCAGTTAGTTACTCAGTTATTAAGCAAGAACTTAATTAGATTAACCTGTTAAGTTATATGCATTTTCATATTGTCTATACAAACTGGATGCAGTAGTGATTAGTGATTCATAAGGATTATCATCACAGCACTCAGGACAGTTCCACAGGTGCTCCAATCGCCTACTCAAAAACTTCTTAGGACGTCTGCTTTCTGTTGATTAATTAAACGATTCATCCCCTTAGTAAAAATATTCATTTCTCGCTGCTACAGGCTGCACCCCCATGCCCATTAATGTAGACTTGATGCAGACATGGGCGCCTGCAGGGCTGAACACTTTGCGTCAACCATTAGAGATCCAAATAAGGATATTATTTGTCAGATAGATAATTCTGTAGAACGAACTATTTAAGAAAACAGAAAGAAACTGTATCCTATAATTTCAAAAATCTTATTTTGCGGACCAAATGATTTGGCAATTCGTGGGAAAGATAGCACCAAAGAAAACGTCGAACAACTTTATGCGTATCGAACTGAGGGAGGAGACAGTATTTAAAAAAACCCATTTTGATACAGCTGCTGGAAATGCACGTTACACATCATACCGAACGCAGAATGATTTGATCAATTTGTCTGAACAAGCTCTGCGAGAAGAAACTGTAAAAGCTGCTAATAATGCTGTTGAATTCTCGATCATAGCCAATGAAACAGCAGCTATCTTAGGAACAGAACAGTTATCACTGGGAGTCCGGTTTGTAGATACGTCTATTGAGAAGGCTATGATTCGTAAGGAATTCCTAGGATTTTCTCCGCTGAAAGGTATGGACGCCGCCACGATATCTGATTGTATTATTCAAAATTGCAAAACATTTGGTCTTCTCCTTAATAATCTGCTGGGTCAAGGTTATGATGGGTGCTCGACAATGGCCGGAAAAGAAAATGGTGTTCAGGCAAAAATTCGAAGTATTTACCCCAAGGCTGCCTTTGTTCACTGTGTCTCGCATAGACTGATCTTAATAATGTTGCAATGATACGAAATACTAATGTTACTATCAAAGCAATTATTACATTTTTTTCGTGAAAGCCCAAAAAGGAGGTCCTCTGTCCCAAATATTCATCTTCTGTGTGAGACAAGATGGACAAGCAAGTATAAATTTTTCGGATTTTTTCTAGTAAATTTGAAGATATTTATTGTCAACTGGAAGAATTTTCATTGCATGCAAGTGGAAATACACGACAGGCTGCACATTAGTTATATTGTTCATCAAAGTCCAGCACGTTTTTATTTTGTCTCAATATTATTTCGCAGTACTCTGCCATACTGGCACCAGTTACTCAGGCTCTTCAAGCTGTTCAAGTTGATCTTCCAGAAGTGCAACTGCAAGTTCAAAACCTGCTCAGTGTAGTAAAACTTCACCGAGGTGATTCCGATAACTATTTCAGGGATATTTTTGAGAAAACAGTACAACTCGCACAGAAAGTAGATACTGAACTGATTATCCCAAGACAGTGTGGAAGACAAAAGCATCGATCTGGTCTCAAGACTCAGTGAAGGGAAAACCCCAACTGCACCTCCACGCGGTGGAGGACGGTAAACACACTGCGGTGTGGCCAACGTAGCTATGGGGACCGGGATAAGTGGACACCTCTGGGATGCCATCTGCTGTTAGCAGGAGCATCACAGAGCAGGGCACTCGCTTGCCCTAGCAATCGAAAAGGTTGCTGAAGGCTGAGGACTTGGTCCAAAGCCATGTGGATGTGGAAAGCAACGGGAAGTTACCACATTACTATCCTAAGAAACTCATCACGAAAATTAGAATTTTGAGAGCGTGCATCTTTCCTGTGGCTACATACGGATGTGAGTCATGGACTATCTCTCAGTCCTTAAGAAAGAGAATAAGGGCTTTTGAGCTGAAATGCTATAGAAAGATTCTCAGAATATCTTGGACAAAGAAGATGAGAAATATTGACATCTTAAAAAGATCTGAACATCAAGGAAGATTGGCTAATGAACAGCATCCTTTCTCGAAAGCTGAAATATTTTGGTCGTATCAAGCGCCACGACGGATTGGACAAAATAATAGCAGAAGGCACGGTACCAGGAAGGAGGGGCAGGAGCCGACCGACACGAAGATGGGCACAGGACATAAGTGACTCCTTGAGTGTTAAAGTTCATGAGGCGGGAGAGCTGGCAAGAGACCGAGTTTCTTACAGGCGGAATGTAATGAGAGCGACGTTCTGCAAAGGACCTGCTACATGATGATGAGTGACATCCTTCGAAATTGTGCAAATTGAATCGTCAACAGTTTAAGGATATAATGCCTACTATTAATCAGGTATACCACATTGATAATTTTGAAACTGAAGCCTTGAGTTGGTTTGATTTTATAAAACGCGAGAATACAAAAGTAGCCAAGATTTCATCGACTTGTTACCTTTTACAAAGTTTTATCCGAGTGTCAGGTATGCCTTACTAGTTTTGCTAACATTACCAGCAACAACATGTACGGTGGAGCGATCGTTCAGCACATTACGTCGTGTAAAACGTTGGCTTAGATCTACAATGTCAGATGAACGTCTGTCTGGATTGTGCATGTTAAGCGTACACAGAGACAAAGTGAACTGCAACAAAAAAAGACTTTATGGACAAAATTGTAGATATGTTTGGTAGCGATAACAGACGACTCCAGTTCTTGTTTAAAGAATAAATTTTATTTTAAATTTATTTTGTAAAATTTTTTGTTATATACATATATTGTGTTAATAAAAAATTTGTTGCTACAGTGTGCCCTTCATTACTACAGTGTCCTGTCCGTTCGTTCACCATACAAATACGCTACAGTAAATTAAAACTACATTAAAACATCACTAAAAATATCCCCCCCCCCCCCTTTAGAATATTTTCTGCTGGCGCCCATGGATGCAGAGTCATGCCTTTTGACGTGCTTGTCGTCTGGGTAAGTGTTGAGCATGGCATCGATTACATCTCTTCTGTCCAGTACCGGACCAGCCATAGAAACCGCAGTGTCTGCAAGATTATCTGCACACTCGTTCCCTTGAATATTCGGGTGCCCTGACACGAAGGTGAAGATTACTGTAGCCATTTGCAAAATGCTTAGTGCTGCAATCCATTTTTTTTTTCTGTTGAAACCAACCTGGGATTTTAAAGCATATTCAATACGTCATTAAATCTGGACGCGTGTGTGAACTCTTGACTACGGAGCCATGCTAATGCCCTTGTTACAGCATAGTTTCCATTGTAAGGCTGATTATTGTAATAGTAAAGGTGCCATTTATTTCCTTGATGTTTCTCCCATGAGCGTTATGTAAATCCCTGTCCACTTTGCTTGCCCCCAAATTACTCATCCGTAAATACACCACAGTATCACATTCGTATGTGTTCTCGTCAATCAGTATTCTGACTAAAGTGTCTACAATGCCAGAAATCTGCCCTCTACAGCTTTTTTTATGCATGATGTGGACTGTAATGGTAATTTTTGAAGCAGAAGACATGGGTATACATTCAATTCTAAGATTAATGTCAGTAAGGCAGCAAACTCCACGCGGTAGAAGACGGTAAACACACTGCGGTGTGACAACGCAGCTATTGGGACCGAGTATCCGCCGGGATAATTGGACACCTCTAGGGTGCCCTCTGCTGTTAGCAGGAGCATCTCGGAGCAGGGCACACACTTGCCCTAGCAATAAAAAAGGTTGCTAAAGGCTGAGGAAGCAGTCTAAAGTCATGTGGATGTGGAAAGCAACGGGAAACTACCACATTACTATCACAAGAAACTCATCATAAAAGCCAAAAATGAAACTCAAAGATCCGATGATGAGGGCTCCAGGCCAGGCAGATCACAAACACGAACTGGGGAAGAGAACGATGGCAGAGCAAGTATGGGTAGTTGTGATAACGGCCTTAAGCCCGACGGATAGCTATGCAAAGATTAAACAGTCCTAAAAGTCTTTGGTTAATCACCATCAAGGAGATCAAAATAAGAATTTTGAGAGCATGCATCTTCCCTGTAGCAACATACAGATGTGAATCGTGGACTATCTCCCAGTCCCTAAGAAAAAGAAAAGGGGCCTTTGAGCTGAAATGCTATAGAAAGATTCTCAGAATATCTTTGATAAAGAAGAGGAGAAATACTGACATCTTGAAAGATCTGAACATCAAGGAAGTTTGGCTAATAAACTGCATCCTGTCTCAGAAGCTGACATATTTTGGTCATATCAAGCGCCACGACGGATTGTAAAAAATCATAGCAGAAGGCACGGTACCAGGAATGAGGGGCAGGGGCCGACTGACACGAAGAATGGGCACAGGATATAAGTGACTCATTGAGTATGAAAGTACATGAGGCGGGCTAGCTGGCGAGAGACCGAGTTTCTTTTAGGCAGACAGTGATGAGAGCGACGTTCTGCAAAGGACATGCTACATGACGATGATCTGGGGAGAATGATGCACTGGCAGTGTTCACGGGTTCTAGTCGCCATACAGGACTCGGAGGAAGGCAAAGTAGTATATAAATAGATGACAATGGATACCATCGGCAAAGCTAATTTGGGCTTTTCCTGAATGCTCTGGTGTCAAATCTCTACCCAAAACGAACCCATATTTTGTCGACTGCTAACTGCCAATTTTCCACGCTGTGAGGTGTATAAGACAAATGGCACTGGTCCTAAGTTATAATATCCCAGTTTTTACATGATAGGTGAATCCTGTCTTGTCACCGGCACCATCTGCTCTTCCAGTGACATTTCTTGACAGGGCTGACCTAGAATCCAGGCTTTTTAAAAAGTTCAAAATAATTAGAACCCAAAATCACTGTGCCAGCAAGCAAACGTCTTGTCACTGAGTCACAATGGTGTATGCTGTTACCAAGGTGCCCAGATTATTGAATTCATTTGGGTAAGCTGCAGACTGTTTTACTGTGCTGCTGAGAACATACTTTAACCGAAAAAAAAAAAAAAAACCATTCACACTGCAATATAGCG